AGAAGGCTTGCTGTGTAACTGAGCCTTGGAGAACTAGAGAGAATGTTTGACGGGAGCTTCTATCGACATGGCAGTAAATGCAGCCTCCTGACACTCCAGCCCCACCTGCCCTTTCTCCATATGCACTGTTTGATATTTCCTATTATCCTAACCCTTCTGCTTTCATCTTCTCATCTGTATGGTGATTTCAAACGCCTACTTTTCATTTAGACTTTTTCTGTGGTGCTTTGGTTGGACCCTACCACATGTCATCACAATAAATGCCTACCTTCTTTTCTTTGCCTTTTTAAAATCAGTGTTCACCACTGCGTTATGGCCTGTGATAGCTTTGATTCTCTTGTCTTTATTAACTACAGAAGCAAAGACAGTTGAGCCCTGGTCTGGCCTTTTTCATACTTCGCCTCCCCACCTCCAGTCCCTCATTCCGTAGATTTAATTTTCATTGGTTTGTATGTTTGTGGGTTTGCCTATTTATTTATTCATTCAACAAGTACTATCTGAGAGATTACTGTTTACAAGCTACTGTTCTACAAGTTAAGGGTCCTCATAAAGAAATTGTGTCTCTTCTGTTCTTTTATAAGTCATGCACCTTTTATTTTGATTAAGACCTGTAAAATGTCTATTTTCTCTCCTGGGCTCCTTCTGTACTTAGCTCCTGTGTTTTGAACCTTCGCCTCCCTAGCGCCTGGCACCCGTAACAGGCCCTTGTGTCACTGGTAGTTACCTAGTAAATCCCTTTTTATTTTGCAAACATGGAAAGTTCAAGTTCAGAAAGAATATGACTTGGAAAAAGATAACTCGTTAATGGCCAAAATGGAAATAACACCTCCGACTCCAGGCCTTACCACGCACTACTCTGTAATATTTTATGTCAATCTTGTTTACCTAAATTTAGCATTTTTTTCAATTCAAGAAATATTTATCAGATACCTTCTGGGTGTAAAGCGCTAGTGACACAAGTGGGAGATGGAAACATGAGTGGCGGATCTCACGTATTCAGAAGGAGGTGGAGATTAAACATTAAATAAGTAGATACTGTTTTTGCCCCCCGGGTTCATGTGCTCTCATGCATTGCTTCTCAGCTTTGGGATCATTGACATTTTGGGCCAATTAACTCTTCGCTGTGAGAGGCTGTTGGGTGCAGCACAGGCTGTTGAGTAGCATCCCTGACTGCTGAAGGCTCTGTGAGGCTTTTCAGATCTTTACCAGGGCGTCTTGTCAGACAGAAGGGCTCTCTGAGGCCTTGCTTTAGAGCTTTCTGAGATCTTTTAACAGCGGATTTTACATTCACACCCTTGGTTTCGTTTTTAGGTTTGCCCTTTGCCCAGAAGCATTGTCTCAATGTTTGCATCATTTGCTGACTAGAGAGGCTGAGGAGGAGCAAGTTTTATTTGAAGCCCAGCAAGTCCTAGCACCTTTGTGTAGAGTGGTCCTTCCTTTCGCTTTCCCCCTCTTTCATCCCACTATAAGTAACAACTATAGCCCAGGCAGTGCCTTTAACACTCTGGCTGGACTGCCCCTTAGGTAGATCACCCAGTTTATTAGGTATGTTTTCCATTTTCCCTGTAACTAAAGACTGCCGTGTTGCCACCACGCAGTAAGGGATGTTTCCCTGTAAAAGCCCTCACTGGCAGCCAGGTCCTCCTGGGCTGTGTCTGTCTTTTGTTGACAGTCTCATTCACACCCTTTCGTCTTTCACTGATGCTTTATGCAAGGTCCTTCCAGCTTCTGTTCAGTCCCACAAACAAATCTACCACGTACCTTAGGGTTTCTTAGCAACACCCCAATTCTAGGTATGGAAACCTATCTTAGTTATCTACTCCTGCTAGAATAAGTCAACCAAAACTTAGAGACTTGAAACAAATATTTATTTCATAGTCGCTGCATATCAGGAGTTTGGGAGCAGCTTAGCTGGAAGCTTCTGGTTTAGGAGATTCAAGAGATTACAGTCAGGTTTCAGCTGGAGCTGCAGTCATCTGAAGGCCTGACTGGGCTGGACGATCAGCATGGGTTCTTCTCCATGTGGATTTCTCCATGGGACTGCTTAAGTGTCTCTCTCCAGAGGATACTTCCCCCAGAGCAAGCAGTCCAAGAAAGAAGGGAAGTGTGTTAAAGAATTTGCAGATACATTTTTAAAATAACCACAATCCACATGTAGCTTCCCAGGTTGCTCAGATTACCTCTTTCCCCGTTCTATGCAGCTGTCAGGGGAAATGTCTATGGAGCCTTACTGGGGTGGGAGGATGAGTTTGGGGGTCACACATCACTTCTACTCTCATTCCATTGGCTGGCACTGAGTCAGGGCCACAGCTAACTGAAAAGGAAACTGGGGAATTAAATCCAGCTGTGTGCCAGGAATGAAGAGAAAGCAGATTTGGTTGAATAGGGAGAATGGTGAAATCATCAACCAAATAGCGGGAGCACAGGAAGAAAAAGTATCCGGTGCACCTGCTTTCATTCTATATCAAATTGTTCCTATATGGTTTTTGCTTGATTTTTCAGTTTTTCTTTAATAAAACAATAAACCAGAATAAGGTGTTATAGTTATTTTGGTGTTTAATAGTATTCTAGGGAGTTTTCATTAACTCATTTTAAATTTTGGATGAATGCTTGCTTTGAAATTCTGTTTTTGAAGTATGGGCATAACATCAGTTATTGTTCCTTGAAGTCCTTCTGTGCTTCTCTGTCCTACTGCATGATTATAAACCTTCACCAAGGGCTTTATTTTCCCCCTTGGGGCATCTTATTGAATACTTGCATCTTCAGTAATTCATCTGGGCCCAATGCTTTGTCTGTTTTAATACTTCTAATTACCTAATTATGTACTATAATGCCGTGACAAAGCCCTTTATCATTTCACTCTTTTCTTAACCCTTTTCTTGCTTAGGAAATATTCTTTTTGTCTCTTTGTTGTCTGAGAAACTCTTCATTATAGACAGCCCAGATATTTGCCTGGCTTCCCTTCATTGTCTTTCTGTGTTATGAAGGCAAGTGCTTTATTGAACGTCTTCCCGGTCAGCTCCCACCAGGTGCCTGAGTTCCTGGCTATTGCGCTCTAAAGTTGGTATATAGTCGTCCTCCATCTCTCAGTTCCTGATTCATTCCCATGTACTCTAGGCACATGAGAAGGGCTCCAAAAGAGAAAAAGAACAGTCTGGTTGTCATAAACCACTTTTGTGACAGAATTAGTGGCCATTCTGTCCTTTATACATCTTATATGTCCAGAAGTATTCATGAGAAAATGCATTGGAAATCAACAAGCTTTTCCAAAATTATGATGATCTGTACTTAAGGATAACTAAACATTGACAAAGGGGAATTTTTCTTTATATATGTATTTCAGACAATAAAGAAGGAAAAATGATAAAATTATAATTCTACCATTTTACAACCTTTAGTGAATTAATAGGTCTAGGCAATGATCATCAGTGGTTGCTAGCATCACAAAAGGAGGGGTAAGTTAACGTGTGCCTCCTGATGGAAGTTCACAGCACCAGCTATGCCAGTGATTTACTGCTGCCTTGTAAACCACCCCAAAGCTTAAAACAGCAGCAGAATTTGTTTTGTTGATGAATCTATAACTTGGACAGGTGTGAGCAGGACAGTCTGTCTCTGTTCCACGTGGTATTGGCTAGGCCAGCTTGCAGGTTAGGGGTGGAATTTCTGAAGGCTTGCTCACTTACATGGCTGGCTGTTGAAGCTGTCTCTCATCTGAGACCTCTGGAGCTGTGGCTACACCACCTCTACATGGCTCTTCCATGTAGCTGCTTGACTTCCTAGCAGCATGGTATCTGGGTTCCAAGGATGTGTCCAGATGCAGAGCCAGGCAGAAGCTATGTCGCAGCATCCCTGTGTTCTCTGTGAGACACTATCACGAAGGCCAGCACGTATTCAGATGGAGGGGAATCCGACTTACTTTTTTACAGGAGGCATGCCAAAGAATTTGTGAACATGCACTAAAACCATCACAGCACCTATGAAGAATTTTGTTGAAAGTTGAACCTGAATCTGATGAAATCTAGACCTACGTGCCAGTTTATAGGAAATACAGGGGGAAGAGGAATGTATTAAATAACAAAATGGAGGAACAATAAGTGAAATTCAGCATGTGGGAAGTTTCTGTAGGATAAAGAACCTGGTTTCTTATAAAAAAGAGAGGAAGGGCAAATTTATCAAGTAAGAGTCAACAAATTGCAATGTGTGAACATTTCTTGGATCTTGATTTGTACAGACTGGAAAATTTTTAGAGATATTTGAGCATTGACTGGATACTTGATTTAATTATTATGTCATTATTTTTAGTAGCTGTAGGGTTATGATGGTATACAGTTATATTTTTAGAGTCCTTATCTTGGAGAGACATGCACTGCAATCCTTGTAGATGTGGCGGTGCCTCAGCTTTGCTTCAGATTGTGGCGCTGAGGGATGAGTAGGTGTAAAACAAGAGGTGATTAGTGATGAAGAAGGATGAGGGGTATCTTGGGGTTCAGCCTACTAGAATCTCTTTATAAATGTTGGACTTTTTATAATGAAGTCTACATTTTAATTAGGTAAAATTAACAGTGTGGTCATGTATAATAATTTAAATCCTCATATTTGCATTAAAAAGATAATTTTTTTTGAAAAGTTGGCAATAACAAGGTCACATTCTAGTCCTATAAACCAAATGGGCTAAAACAAAGCAATCCCCCACCCTGAATACATAGGCTGTAATTCATTTTGCTTAAGTTGTTGCATTCACCATGTGGTGACTTTAAGCATACGGAAAACATTTGAAATATTTAGATGTTGAAGGGCATTGCCTCCCTCTGTGACAGAATAATTTCCCTCTCCTCATCCTTTTTGCCTTAACATATAAGTCCCACCAATGGCATAAGTTGCTTGGCAAATAGAGACTTGAACTAAAACCTCAAGCAGCCTTGCACCTCTCAGAGATGAGAGTTGGAGGGTAATTCTTGGAATTGTGATAGTCATTTCAATTCTGTGTTTTCTTTTTTCAGGTTTCCTGAAATGCAGTTTTTCCGACAAGAAAATGTGAGGAAGATTCTTACAGATGTTCTTTTCTGTTATGCTAGAGAAAACGAGCAGTTGCTTTATAAACAGGTAATGAAAATATCGTACAGGTGGCATCCATTGACTCAAAATTTTCTATACAGCTTGACAAATGATGGAGCAATAATGTAGCCTTTATTGTATCCAAAGTTGTATCGTAATAGGAAAGCAATCAAAGGGCTGCTTGTCAGCTGCACGGTGAGAAAAGTAAGCTCATTGAGGCACATATGCTTCTTCCGTATTATAAGACATTTCACCAAATTGTCTCTACAAGGCATTCAGTCTTTTCCTTCAAGTTTTGGGAGTTTGTTTATAAACAACATCTTTGAAGCCAATCTAGTAATAAAACTTTTCAGAGTTGTATGTATAAATATTGTTTCTAAGTACAGCATTTATGAATATGTGACATGCCATGTAAAAAATAAAGTATCCTTTTACTCTTTAAAACTTACCAGTAATATAACTTCAGAGGGTTCCTCTAAATTTTTTAAAATGTATATGGTATTCTTTGTGATCCTGATACTTGATTCATTCCCATTACTAAAGCAAAAAAGATTGCTGGATTATTTTAATTGAAATGTAAATTATTTACTTAATATGTAAAGAAGTATCTAAGTTTCTACTTAAACATATGGTGTTCCAATAAACATACATCAGGCTGAGCCCTGGCCCAATGGCTCAGCTGGTTGGAGCATTGTCCTGTACACCGAAAGGATTCAGGTTCAATTCCTGGTCGGGGGACATACCTAGGTTGTAGTTCGATCCCTGGTCCTGGTGCCTACAGGAGGCAACCGATTAATATTCTCTCTCACACAGATGTTTCTCTTGCTCTCTTTTTCCCTTCTGCTCCCTCTAAAATCAGTAAAAACATATTCTTGGGTGAGGATTTTAAAAAAAATACATCAAGTTGAATATTTTTATGTATTTCTCAAAATGTATATTAGGAGGAAATCCAAACTAAGTAAATTCTATAACAATCAAAAGTTTTGACATATGTCCAATTGACAACCACCTAATTTCAGTGTAATATAACAGAAAACACTCATGGTGAGAGCAGTGTATTTAATTTGAAATAAACTTGATCAGTTTAAAGATAATAAAGTCATATTACAGTTGTCCTAAATAGTACATTTGTTATTATATACATAGAATACCCAAGGGAACTAATTTTATCTTTGTTTTAATATTAGCGATATGTCTTTATATTAATTACATGGTAATTACATGTAATCACATGAAATATAATTATATTATATAAATCACCATTTAGAATGGGAAATGGAAAAAATATATACCATTCATAATGCCAACCAAAACTATGAAATACCTAGAAATAAATTTAACAATATAAGCACAAAAGCTAAATGAAGAAAACTATAAATGTTATTGAAGTATATAAAACCAGACTTGAATAAACTGAAAAGTGATAACATGTTTTTTGATGAAAAGACATTAAATAAAAATATTACTTCTTAACAGATTAATGTATAAATGTATTATCATTCCAGTGATAGTCTGAGTAAAATGTCATTTTTAAAAACTGGACACATTTATTTTAAATTTAGTTCCAAAAAGCTTTACAGTAATTTTAATGGAGATAATAGCTTAGCTGATTTGATTAAGAGCACTGGGTCTAGGCACACATCCCTTTATTTCAATCTCAGCTCCACCATTTGGTAGCTACACATGCAATTTACTTACTTAACTTTTCTAATTCTTAGTTTCCTTATCTATAAGAAGAGGTCAATAATAGTATTGACTTTGTAAAGTTCAAAGCATCTAGTTCTCACTAAGGGTTCATGTTGGTAGTTGTGGTGGTGATTATTATTATAATTATTATTAAATCTTTCGGAGCTGCCACAGAATTTAGGAGAAGATAAGACTGGCAGAGGGAGATATGAAAACTTCTGTAAACGTTCTGTAATCAAACCAATGTGACGTACTGTGGGAATCGACAAGTAGGTCAGTGGAACAAACTAAGAACAGGTCCAGTTACTTATGTGATCTTGGTATGATAAGATAGGACATTTTTATTGACTTGATATATTTGGCTTTCCATCTAGAAAAAAAATTAAATTATACTTTTATTGGAGAATAAATTCTAGATGGAGTAAAGATATTAATGTAAAAACAAGAATTACTCAAATATACTAGAAAAAAGCTAGGAGAATTTTTTTATAATTTCAGGGTAGGAAAGGCCTTCCTAAGCAAGATGTCTGGAAGTCTTAGGCAAAGTCCCAACACTAAAAACAAACCAATAAAAGGAGACTGGGAGAATTGAAATCTCTCTCAGTACAGGATTTTTTTAGAAGCACGTACAGAAAATCCCATTCAGAATGACTTCCACTCTAAGGATGTCTGGGGTAGAATGGTTGGGTAGTATTAGTTCAGTAGCTCACACTCTTTATCAGTGATCCAGGGTTATTTCTCTTTCCTTTTTCCTCTCCTCATTGTGTTGGCTTTTATCATCAAGCCCATCTCCTCACTGTCGTCTCTCCTCTCCTTTTTCAAATACTTAGAAATACTTCACAGTAAAGATTTGATAGCAATTCAAGTTGGGATAAAATTACCCCAAGACACACACTTGTTCTCCTTTTTTCTTTAGAGAAAGAAAAACTAGATTGAAAAAGTCTTAAAATAAGGGAAACAAGTTCCACTGACAAGGAACAAACACATAACTGCACACGCCATCATTTGTGATGTACGTGGCCCACTGCATTTTTAAGGAAGACTGAAGAGGAATATGCAAGATCAGATTCTTGATAATTTAGACAGAGTCTATCAATTATTGAGTAAGAAAGTATTAACTTACTCCTGGGTATCAGTTAATAAGACTTAATTACTCCCTGTACATGTTTAAAATCACATAGATTTTTACACAGAAATAAAACCTTGCCATAGAAGGACTGAATATTTAGCCAGATCAAATTTAAGGAAAAACCTTGAGTTTCATCACAAGCTGTTAAAGCCATTATTTTGTACTAGGTGACACCCCGTTTAACATCGACCATATTGTTAATAGTTATGGGATTTTATTGAATTAATGAGACTGTTATCATGTAGTAGAACGTCTTGCTGAGTTAATTGAAACTGCAGAGATTATATAAATGGTATTAATGAACTTTGACTGCCTGATGCCTCAACTTTAATAAAGACTGCTTGGTGAGCTAAATGAACACAGGCAGATAAAAGAACAGGTTCAATTTTGTGAGCCTACAGGCTGTTGATGAAGAAAACTTCGTTACCTTTATTTTCCAATGACATGAGTTCGGAGTGCAGTGACTGCTAACGATCCAGCAGGGATAAAGGCTTCAAGCAAGAAGAAATGCTGACACTGTAGATGGAAGCAAGATACACATTTTGGGAACCAAGAAATATACTAACAATACATTATTTTTTATTATGCTTTGTCAAATTTACAGCATATTGAATTTATTACGATCATTTGTCTAGATAATTCTCTTTTCCTTTAAAGATGTCTGTATACATTTCCTCATTTTACTAGTCAGATTGAGGGTGAAACCAACAGTCTCTTCCAAGTCTATTTAAGAAAATATTCCTAGTTTAGTTGGAATGTAACACTGAATTTGTAAAAAGTTGTCTTAAATGGTATTTAGGGAACTCTTCATTTTTGTTATGTAAAAGCACCGTATTTATTGATGTGAAATACTGACTTAGTGTTATCCTTTTTTGTCTTTTATATTGTAGTTCAACTTTTACCAATGTGTTGCTATGTTGAGTGGTAGACACTTCATTTATTCAGTCACTGTGTAGTGAGCACCTTTTATGTGCTGAGCCTGTAATAGGAGTTGGGTGTGTATGTGTCTTGCTCTCTAGACTGCAAGCTTTGTAATGGTTAGGAGCTTGCCCACTTCATTCACTTTTGTGTTCTCAACACATCATAGGTAGTTAATAAATAGTTTTTGAAATAAATGAAGATGAATGATGCTTGAACAAATAGAGAATGTGGAGAGAGTAGTGTCACAGAAACTAGAGGGAAGAGAGCATTTAAAGAAGGTGGGAAGATGCATTTAAGCAATAAATATTTCCTATTAAATTAGCAATAATTATTTAGAAAATACATTGAGGGGAAAAAGACCTATTTAGAATCACTACCACCAGCAACAACTATAAAAAGCTAGTAACAAACCCAGTAAAAACTATGTAATTATACAAAGTTTTGAATTAGAAAACCTGATGTTCTAAAAATATCTGTTTTCTTCAAGTTAATTTTAATAGAATGCTGATACAAGTTGCAGTATTTTGTTAGCATTTATGTACTGAAGTTCTCTTGGGTGAAAAATTAAGTTAGAATAGGCAAGATCATTTTGAGAAAAAGGATAGGTATTATGGAGGAATCGAATATTTTGCAGCTTGTCATTACAATAGTAAAATTGTTTAAAAATTTTTTTTAATTTTATTTATTTGATTTTTTTCAAGCACACCTTTTACTTGGCTCCAGGGACCCTAATAAATAGCCCAATAAGCAAAATGGTGAAGACTCACTATCTCCTCTGAGATAGCTTTTATTTTGTGTTTGTGTGTGTACTTAAAGTTCTTCTAAAGAATATTCTAACCAATGGAATACCAGTAAAAGCCCAGAAAAAAAAAAGAGAGCTAAATAATAAGTTTATGGTAAAGAGGACATTTCAGAACTCTTGGGAGATGTGTTATTAAATAAATGGTGATCATTCAATAAATTAGTTTAATTCTTTAGGAGAGAAAAATACATATTTATTCTTCAGGGCAAAATTAAATACTAGAAAGATAAATAATTAACTGTAAAAAAGAAAAATTATAAACTTACCTAACAACCATATGTGAAATTTAACAGGATTTTGTTAAAATTACTTTTAAAATTTGTTGGGGTGACATTGGTTAATAAGATTATATAGGTTTCAAGTGTACATTTCTAAGATACATCTGTATATTGCATTGTGTGCCCACCACCCAGAGTCAAATCTTCCATCCCCATAAATTTGATCCCCATGACCCTTTCCCACCCTCACTCCCCTTCCCCTGGAAATGAGTCAGACAGAAAAAGTCACGAGCCATAGGATTTCACTCATACGTAGGATAAAGAACTGAAAGCAATAAATGAACAAACATGAAAAACAAACAAAAACTCATAGACACAGATAGAATTTTTTTTTTAAAGCTACAAATATAAGTGAGGATTTGTGAGAGAGTGATTTTTATGCTCGCAAGTGGGAATTATTTTTGAAGGGTAGCTTAATTGTTTCTGTTAGAGACTTTAACAACGTCTTTAATCATTTACACAGAAATTCTGCATCTTGGTACTTTATCCTGAGGAAATCATCAGAAATAGGCAACAAAAAATTACTGCAAGAATATCTGTCACAGTTTTTTATGTCTTTTTTTCTTTCTTTTGCTTTCCCCCCCTCCCCTCTCTCCCTGCCCTCCTTTCCTCTTTTCCTTCTTTAAGGCTAGGGTTAACTTACAATAAACTGTAATAGTTTACTTTCATATTATTCTGTGATAATAACTCGGTTCCTAAGAGCAGCATGGTACGACTAGGCTGCGCAGAAGGCTGTGTGACTGTCCTGTCACAGAAATTCATCTCTAATTTCACCGGCAAAAACTGTTCATATTTTATTTTTATTTCCTGTAAAGATGGTGTTTTGTCTTTTTATAAAAGATCATCCATAGTTATTAGGCAAAAAGAAAATGGTAATTTACTCACTTTTAGAGGCAAAAAGTGTGCAGTCAGTTTTTAACTTGCTAAAATATGTTCCTTTGATGTTTAAAAGGGAAAAAAATCTCAGTTAGCAAAGCAGGTCACTAATTTGGAATACCTTATTTCCCCACAATAATGGATAAATGATGGATTTTTATAATACTCTTTTAAACAAAGCTTAGTAGCTAATATATCTTTTTGAGCCTGTGCCTATTCATATAATTTACAAGTGAACACCAATATAAGGGAAAAGAATCATACTGGTGAAATCTAGGCAGGAAAGTACTCTTCAGATTAAACAACTTGAAAGTCATAATTCAAAAACTTTGTTTTCCGTTATACCTGCTAAAGGTTGGTTCTTTTATTATCCAACATTTCCAGCTGCCTGACTTCAGCGCTTCCTAAATCTACAGACATCCTAATTTTGAGCCATTTTATAATGAAAACATTGGGTGTAATTTCCTTAGGTCTACAATTCGTAGTTGCCCTTCTTACTGCAGATCTTTACACTGTAGCTCATGATTATAATTTGCATAAATGAAATTCATATTTATGAGTACAGATCTTGAAGCAACTGACAGGTGCAAGGTTGTCTACCATGCCAGTTTATTGTTTGTCGTGTCATTTAAAAGAGAACTGCTCTCCACGTTTTAAAGCAGAATACGTGCTGTGGTTGAATTGGAACCAAAATCTAAACGTCTATAAAAGCTCATCTTGTAGCTTTTCATTTCTATGCTTTTCTGTATGGTGATGGAAATTCTGGTGCAGGGACCAGCTGAAGAAGCGTTTACCCGGGCTATTCGGCCCACGAGCGGGCTCTAAACAGCCCAGCCTTTCACCCCCCTTGCCCTGTGTTTCAGGGCATGCACGAGCTGCTGGCGCCGGTAGTCTTCACCCTCCACTGCGACCGCCAGGCTTTTCTTCATGCCAGTGAGTCTGCTCAGCCCAGGCAAGTTCTCGCACAAGCTCCGTCTGTTTTTCAAGCCCTACTGTAACCTTTTCTTGCCTCAGAATCTTTTCACGTGAAGGTACTTTTGTAAATTACAAACACTTGGTTGTGTTTCATGTGGCTGATTATTAACTCCACTCCATAGTTGTAATCCCGGTTCAACTATGGGCAGATTTGGAAACATAAATATCTTTGCAAACCTTAAATGTATACCAAAGGATCAAGAAGAGGAAATTGTTGTAATGACAAAGTGCTAGATTGCTAGTACTAATATATACCATCTTCAAATGTCCCGTTCTTTTACTACAAGCTGGGTGGGAACCTTATCTGTGAGATACTTTGTCCAAGTTTGACTTAATTCAGTTCATAAGAGAACAGTACCACAAAGACCTCCAGTCTATAACTAAGCAAAAATGACTTACATTTTTGAGGTACATTCATTTATTCTTTCCAGTAAATAACTTTAGTAATTGTATTTAACCTTACCTAGTTGTTAGAATTCATTTTCTGACTTAAGATACCCTAACTGAGCAGAGAGGCAGCCAGGACACATCTTGGGAATAGAGAGAGCAAAGGATTAAAACCTTTGTCAAAAGTAATCCACGGACTAGCCCATCTATGTGCAGAAGAGAGAAACACACAGTACAGTATCTTTATTAATCAAATGTAGCCATCCATTTTGCTGAGCATATACTAGGGTCTTTGTTAACTTTCATTTACTATATTACACATTGGTATTTTCTAGTTCCTTTTGAGTTTTTTAATCATACTGAATTTACAGGATCTGACTGTAGTAACCATATCTTGATTGCCTTTGTTTAGTTATTCTAATGATAAGGATGACACTAGTATTGGGATCCTATTCTCATGTCAGTTTTACCTTTTTTAAATCATATATGTGGAATATACTTCACAGGAAAGTATAGATGATTGAAAATAGCTTTTAAATAAATTGAACATGCTTCTTTCACTGTTTCAGTCCCCTAAAATGTAAAAGCAACACTAAAATAGATTTGTAAGAGGTGCTATCACTGAATAATTGATGTTAAAATATAGTAAAAATAGAAGCCATTAAAAGAAAATAAGTCAATGTTTTGATATGGTATATTTGACCAGTAACTATAATTGTTTTGTTTTGTTTTTATCAATAGCGGTAGATTTTGGAGTAATCAATTTATTCTAGACCAGGCCCATTCAAGGAATATGTTGTGACATTTGTGTGTGTTATTTGGAATAATTAAATAGTTACCTCATTGTGGTATACACAAGGCAGCTAATTTTTTTTTGAAATTTATAGAAAGGATTTCATTTGTTAATGGAGTAGCTCTTTTTTATTAAAAAAGGGTAATTTTTTTTATTTGCACATGATGCAAAAGTTGGCTTATAAGTATATAGTAAGGTAACCTCTGCATCTCCTTCCATTAAAAAATTAAAAATTCTGATTTTGTGTGTTCCTTTTTTAAGTGAGGAAATGAAAACTCTCTTGAACCCTGAGTACCTGGAACATGATGCTTAGTAAGTACAAACACTTTCTCTTATTTTTATTTTTTATATCATATTTACTTTAATTAAAGTTTAACATTATATTATTTTTTTTAATTTTAGTGCAATGTTCTCACAACTTATGGAAACTGCTGAACCTTGGTTTTCTACTTTCGAGCATGATAGTCAAAAGGTAAGTTGTATAGTGCAGATCTTTTTAATATATTTGAAGGAACAAATAATTTCAATAAGTAACGACATATAATCAGAGAATAAAAGCCATTATTATTACTGTGAAAAAAGAAAATATAAAAATACCTGTGGAAAAAGATTGAACTGGGATTTAAACAAACCATATCTCTGATACTATTGGCAAATATATACAAAGGTAATATAAAAATTTTTGTATAAATAAATGGAAACTTCTTTTATACATGTGTATAATATTTATGCAATATAACTTCTTAAAATTATTGTAAATTTTTAATAAGTGCATTTATCTACTTGATCTGTTGCTATCCTAGGGATACATTGTTAACTGACGTGCATAAATAAACTTTGTAACTATTGAATTTAGCATCAAACCACTTTTCCTTACTCTCTCTTATCCTTATTTTTTAATTACAATTTTTATTGTGACATAATTAATATACCATAACATTCACCTTTTTAAAGTGTACAATTCAGTGGGTTTTACTATATTCACAGGGTTGTACAGATATCCTCACATCTAATTTCAAAACATTTTCATCACCCCAAAAAGAAGTCCTGTGCCCAGTAGCCGTCACTTCCCATCCCCCTCCCCAGAGCCTCTGCTATTACTAATCTACTTTGTATTTCTACTTGCCTGTTCTGGACATTTCATATAAGTGGAATTATATAATATGTGGCCTTTTACAACTGACTCTTTTCCTTTAGCATAATGTTTTCAATGTTCATTCATGGTGTAGCATGCGTCAATACTTCATTCTTTTTCGTGGCTGAATAATAGTTCTTTGTGTGGCTGTAGCACATTTTGTTTATCCATAAATCAGTTGATGGACATTTGGGTTTGTTTCACTTTTTGCTTGCTATGAACATTGTGTACAAGCTTGGGTGTAAACATGTTTTTAGTTCTTTTGCATTTCTCTAGGAGTTAAGTTTCTGAATTATCTGTCATTGTAAACAAACATATATGCTAACTTAGATATCACTGTGGTATTTTAATTTTTATTATACAATATTGGAAAAATTGCAAGATACTCTGGCAAGGAATGCTAAGAGTTTGGGGCATATTGTTTTCTATATGATTAATTTCTTTTATATTGGTATAATTAATTGCATTCTGGTTAGAAACCATGTATTAGTCAATCACTTCATTCCATCTCTTAAAAAATGAAATGGATAACTAATGCTTTTTATGCCTTTGGTCTAGGTCAGGGCAAACTACTGCCTGCAAACCAATTTGGCCTGCCATCTGTTTTTGTACAGCTTGTGACTTAAAATGGCTTTTACATTATTAAATGGCTGAAAAAATATGAAAAGAAGAATACTATTTTGTGACATATGAAAATAATATGGAAATCAATTTCCATGCCCATGTAAGAAGTTTTATTGGGAAATAGCCATGCCTATCTGTTTACTTACTGTCTGTGGCTGCTTGCTCATTACAACAGCATAGTGGAATTGTTGCAACACTGACCATATGACCCGTCGAACCCGTCTGGCTCTTTACGGAGAAAGTTTGCCAACCCCTAGCCTAGGTGATAAAGTCTTCCTTCAGCAGTGTATGAACATGTTACCTTCTGTAAGGGTTGTTAGAGCAGAAACTTGCTGTCACTCTTGTGATGAACTGCATATGTTTTGGAACAATAACTTTATATTCTTGGCAAGTGATTTGATGAAGTCATAGACTTATGTGGTCATCAGAATTTTGAGTAGAGAATATTTGAATACATTTCAAAAAGGCATCATGATTATTTTATGTAGTGGTCATTTTGTGTTTTATAACTGATTCACTGTATCTGAGAAACTGAATGATAAAAATGCAAAGGTTACCATTTTTTAGTTTTATCTATTCATGTTGCTATCACTGAGTCAGGTTCATGAAAATGGCTAAGATAACACAAAGAAAGGCTTTCATTTTATATAGTCTGATGCTCAACCTCTGAGCCATGCCGGCTGGGCTCATAAGACTTTCTTGATGAAGAAAGCAGTGGTTTACGTAATGGCATAAAATAATTACCACATTGCATTCCTATAACAGTGTGTGGACTGGCTCTGCTGTGCAGAACACATTTACTGCTTAATAAATGGTTAGAAAAATTTTCTAGTTTTATTGGTAGTTGTGGCTGTCCCATTTGATCATATTTGTTAAATGCAAACAGCATTCTTTATTATGATAAGAAATCCTGATGATAAGGAAGTATTTTATAGTAATTCTAGTTTCTCTTTTGATTTTACTGTTTAGCACTTAAGTGATCTGGAATATTACTTTTGAGTTTCTTAAATGTAAGAGATTTTGTTATAAGTATTCTGAGCACAGGGGAAATCTTTTCAAACTATAGTCTATATTAGCCTTATACTACACATGAATCTCTATTAAACATTTGAAAAGTGGAGTTCATATGCTGTTGATTTAATGACAACTCATTCTGTTCAAATTAGAAATTGATTATATGATTTCATTAAGTTAAACATTTTTAAACAGGTTAATTTAGGATCACTTTTCTCCAAAGTCAGTGATTGTATCTCTGTGGAAGTATGTGTATTCAAAAGCCTTAGAAGAAGACTAGATATAGTGATCTGTTTTCCATGAGATTGTTAGAAACCTGTCTGAGCTCAGTGGCTCCAGCCCAAACTATATGGTAGTCAGCTGAACAGGGCTCTTCAGAGAAGGAAAAGCTGCATGACCAAAATACATAAAATATTAAATTGCTTATTTTTAAAGGAAATTTGGCTTCAGAATAAACACTGTCATTTGAATGTGAATAGTATCTTAACAATTAACACGAATTCCAAAAGAAAGTTATTTCAATTTAGTATCAGTAGGAAAAAAATTTTAACAAGAATTAAAATTTTCTTAATTAAAAAAATTTAACAATTAAAATCTTTTTAATTTGAAGAGAATATTAGATATTACAAAATCAGAAAAAGGTGTCTTGGATGTATTATTTTTATAATAAATGACTACAACATAGTTCCTCTTCTACTGTTTGTATAAATTAATACAAATTGAATTATAAAAATTAATACAGATTTATATCCTTCAGACCAAAAGGCACCAGGGCAGACATGCAGGAAGTACAAAGGACTGCGTTTCTTTTTAACACTAGAATGATCCTGGAAAGGCCAGTGGAACCCTCCCAGGAAATGTTCCCTTGTACTAACGTGTGCTCCCCCTCTTCTCTGTGTGTGCTGCCAGCCTAGTCAGTCACTGCTCTCGTATGGAATTCTAAGTCACTTTATCTGTGGCCCCCCCTCCAGACTATGAGGGCAAGACTTTACCTTATTTTTGTGCCCCTGAATCTGGTCCAGTGATGAAAAGATGATATTTACTCCTAGAGATCTCACAGGTTAGGAGGCCATAAAGTAGTAAAGGAGCCTGCGGGAGTAGAGGAGAAGGTAATGAAATAGGACTTGAGCCACATCCTTAAATATACTTAGGAGCTCTTTAGTGGAAACACTGGGGAGGGGATACTTAGGTAAAAGAATGTCATCCCAGGATCTATGGAAGTGAGAACTGAGGCTTGCTGATGAATGAAAGGCCTTAGAGACCAAGCTAAAGAATTTGTTTTGTTTTTCTCTTGAGTGAAGCTATTGAGTGGGGAGCTATTAAAATGTTTAAGGAGGGCAATTTAGCGCAACCTACTGTCTGCTTCACATAGATCACCAGGCATTTTGGAAGATGGATTTAAAAGCAGACTAAATTAGGGACAGTGAGACCAGTTAGGAGGAAATAAATAATTAGGGCTCCAAATCCGGTTGTTACAGTAGAGCTGAGGAAAAGGAGACATGTAAGAACCCCCTGAGTGGTTCTGAGGAACTAAAATTGGCAAGGTAGGTGTTCTTATTGGAGGATGGGTTGAGGTAGGCATGGGAAAAGCATGAACATGTGTTTGAGCAGAAGATGATAGATAAACTTGGTTGTGGGCCTGCTGAATTAGACACCCTCTTGGCAGTCTGAGATTCCTTGCCAAGATTTGAATGTATGGGAGACACTCAAGAGTTCTAAGTTATGAATACAGATTAGGAGGTCTTTGGAAAAAGGTTTTGGTTAAAGCACTGTGTATGACCGAGATCACTCGGGGCATTGCATGTAAGTAAAGAATAAAACTAAGACCAGAACTATATTAAAAAGCAACATCTGTGAAGCAGAAACAAGAATTTGAGCTAGAGAAGTAGACTGAGGATGAGTGATTGGCAGACAGTCATCAGAGTGATGCTATAAATCCCAATTTGGGGGAGAGGCAGAAATCGAGGGCAATATCTGAAGAAAAGTCAGACATAACTATTTGAGGAAACCATCAGATTTGCAGAGGCAGTTGAAGTTTACATGAAGGCATTACAAGGAGTTACAGATATGTCTTTCTTACTATGGAACATGGGAAGAGATGTCATAGTTGGCCCACATAAATTATGTGTTTTTAATCAGCTATATTTTAGTCTAGAGAGTTTTTAAATCTTTTCTACTTCACTATTTAAATTGATCAATGGACAGTTAGAGAACGTCTTTTTTTTCTAGTACTAGTTTCCTTTATTTTCAGACTTTTTTATAGTTTTGAGAGCTCAAATTAAAAGTTTTCGTTTACTGTTTTTCATGTGTAAGTTTTATGCCACAAGAAATATGTTTTCATTAGTTTATTCCATTTAGGTACTGTGGCTGATTAGACAAACTGCCATAGGCAAATAGACTAGTGGCCAGCACTACTCTAGCCAGAATTATCTTGTAATATGTAATGTCACTAGAGAAATTGGTCAAGGGAAAATATTTTAGAAGGCATGTCCTGGCCTTTACTTGAAGATCACAGTAATTTATATGATGATCAGCATATGATTCCATGTTATAAGCATTTGTCATAAGATGATTATTGGTTCTAATTTAAACTTGTTGGTTCTTATTTAAGCTTTCATTAATAAATGTATTCAGGAATGATGTCCATATATTTGTTAATTTCATATTGAAATATAATACAATTCCATTTTTCCTGTTTTTAGGGGAAACAAACACTGCTGACTCCCATTCCCTTTGCTAGACCACAGGACTTAGGGCCAACAATTGCCATTGTTACTAAAGTCAACCAGATCCAGGATCATCTACTCAAGAAGCATGATATTGAGCTTTACATGCACTTGAACAGACTAGAAATTGCACCACAGATATATGGGTTGTAAGTATTAAAGTTTAAATTTCAGCTCAAATTATGATTTATGATGATCTGTATGTGTAGAATTATAGGAGTAAGAGCAAGAACTAACTGTTTCAGCTCCATTTCATTTCATAACTCACTTCTGCCCTCTGTGCCAGGCTCTGTGCTCATAGCTTTCACATGTGATATTTCATCTAATACCTCCATCAACTGTTATTTGAGTGTTACCCCTTTGTTACAGAGGAAGAAACTAAGGCTTACACATATGACATAGTGAAGTCATAATTCATATCCAAGCAGGATTGACTCCATAATCTGCAGAGCCCAGTGCAAAATAAAAATGGGTGGCCTCTTTAAAAAAAGTTAGTAAGAATTTTAAGATGGCAGTAGCAGCAGATCATTAAAGCCAGCATTTTACACCCTCAAAAATTGTTTGCTAAAGTCTAGAAATTGGTCTTAAATATTGGGAAAAGAAATTACCGTTGGACATGTTTATCATTTCTTTGAAATGCTCTATTGTCTATTTCCTTTTGTCGGAGCTGGTGCTTTGCTTTGCAGTGGTGGTGGACTGCACTTGGGTACAGTGATTTATAACCCCTGTGTTCCAGTTTCCTTTGCAGACATTAGTTTCCATTAGCTTTCTCTTCCTCACAGTGATTCATAGAGCTTCTCTGACATCTGACCAGTACCTTCCCCGTAAAAATTCCATGATCCATGATGTAACTACTCCTGATCCTTTCACCTACCTTTGTTTTTAGCAGTACTAACAATACCAGGGCTTGCAGTAACCACTGCTGACTTATTTTCCCATTATTTTTGTATAAGATCTCATCTGCATTATGTAAACATATATATTTAAATATATTTTAATCTTTGAAGAAGTCACTCATTCTCTTAATTGATCTGTACTACATTTTATACTGCAAGGATTTTATTTACTTATTTCACTTACTAAATTTAATTTTATTCTATTTGTGGGGCACATGAAAGGCCAATGAGATTTTATTTTCCTATTTCTTTATGCTACCTTAAGCTGTACTATTCATCTGTGTATTTCCTATTAATGATTGTTGTCATTCTTGGGGCCAGAGAAATATTAATACAATACAGACTAGCAGAAGCAGAAGCTTTGAAATAAAACGGGCCTGTTTACCCTCTTTGAGCCCTGTTGTCTTCATCTGTGAAATGGGGATTAAGAACAATGATATCGACTCCATAGGGTGCCTGTGAGAACTAAATCATAATGGATAGAAGTATAGCGCACAGTGTGTCATAAACATTAAATATATTTTTGGCAGTGCTTTTGTTATCATTATCTGTCATTACCATTCCTTAATTAGGATACTATGGCTCTGAATGTGATGACCTATGTGATTGATGCACCCTTCCAGCTCTGGCTTTGGTTTTCTGTCTTCTGTTCACTGAAGCATATGGGCCTCTTATAAATGGAAACATAATAGCTAACCTTCAGACCAGTGCTTGTGAAGAGATAGTATAGAAGTTGAGAGTAAACGTTTAGAAACAAATCATGGCAGTTTGGCACAATAATTGTATGTCCATGAACCTAATAAATATTGTAGGTTTGTATCTCATGGAAATGAATGGAAATATTTTTGCTTTGTTTGGTATCATACAAGTAATGTTAATCTAAACAGTTGCTGATGCTACTATATTCCTGTTGGAAGGAAGTTGGTAATTTAGGCTTATATTCAATATTAATACTTAAGTAAAAGTAGTTACACTTTGAGTAAATTATCATCAAGTGGACAAATATAAAATAATCAATTTTCTGTTAATAAAACCTACTCTTCCTCAGGGTGACATCAGAATCCATAATTGTATCATGTAGGTGAAGGGATTAAGGAAAACAAAAACAAAAATAAAAACTCATAGACACAGACAACAGCATGGTAATTACCAGAGGGAAAGGGGGTGGTCATGGGAGGAGACTTGCCTTGGGGTGAACAAACAATACAATATACACATGATATATTGTAGAATTATACACCTGAAACATACAGTTTTATTAACCAATTTCACCCTAATACATTTAGTAAAAATAAAATAAAATGTGCTTTTGCATGCCAACTGTTTTTTATAGAATTTTAATTTTCAAACAAAAATATTACCTTATATACTAAAATATTCTAACAAGATTGGTAACAATGTTATAAAAATGTCAATAATGAATGCACCAGTGGAAAAGTATTATTAATACCAACAATTTGTATAGAAAGGGGAGTAAATCCTAAATATATATTTACATGGTGGGGAATGTGTCAGCAAAATGAAATTATATCCATATCGAGTCTGGGTTTCTAATTTCAGTCTGTCTTTAGCAGTTGCATGGTACATTAAAATTTATAGAAATCTGCTTTCTAATACGATCATAATTATCATTTAGATAAAAGTTTTGCAATTTTTAGAAGTAGTTCTTGTTCTGGTTTTTGTAAGAGAATATATGTGGAAGTCTGCTGATGTTGCAGATGTGCCATATGTAAGCTTATTGGTTGCATTTTTCCAATAAATTTAACAAAATTAGAATTAATAATTGGTTAAAAATATTAATTGTACTAACATTGGCTGAAGTCATTCCAAATTACCCTATCTTAATTTTAAGTAAATTGATGATTTTTATCTTGAAATATCAGAATAAGTACCCATGATCTTGAATGTTATATAATACCTTGCTTATTAATACTATTATTTTATGTGTGTAGGTGCTTCATCCCCTGGAAAATAGTATCTGGCTTTCTGTTAGGAAATGTTAAGTCAACTTACTATTCAGTTTAAACAAAGTTATTTTGAAATTAAATGTTCAATGCTTTGTAAGTGATAGTATAAAATAATATTTCCTAAAAAGAATTTACATTGTGCTTTTCACTAACCTTATGAACGATTACTCCTGTTTCATGTAGAATGAACTTTCTCTTGCTTTAATTCAAATAATTAACATTTTGAGTTGTCTTTTGTTTGCCAATTATTGATAAGTGTCTGACTTATAGAGACTTAAGTTCTGTAGGGGCCTATCAATGCACAGGGACCAATTTCCAAGGCAAAACAGTGACTGCATTATTTCCAACTTTCCTAGGTAATTTCTAAGAGTTGGTGTTTCTTTTAATCTTTGTTTTTACTATGAGAATAAGAATTACCTTTGATTTAATCACTTTGGAGTTATTTTATGTAACACTTAAATATGTAACACTAAAATATTAATGTTATATTTCCATCCCTGAGTACATCTTGAGAATCCAAAAGAGCCTCAATCATAGCAGATTCAATACAAAGTTTCAGTACTGTTTCCCCTTAATCCTATTTCTAAAGAGATTCAAAATTGAAGTTTAAAAATAACAATTTTTGCTAGGCCAGAGTAACTGTTTTATTATTACCCTAAATATATTGAATCTGCATATTTTCAGCTACATTTTATACTTTGATATAAATAGAATACATAATAAGCATCTGTGGGATATGCAATTAATGTCACTTATGAGGAAAGACCATCATAACACACTTGGGCTTTGGCATTCGTAAATTATGAGTTCTTTACGACACTCATGGGATAAATTTCATATCTCCCAAATGTTTATTATACATCTTCCTTTTCCTTTATTTTCTATTTTCTGGATTAGCAGTTGTTTCGCTGTGGTAGTTTATAATAATTTAATTGGGGAGGTTCTTGGTTATTGATAAACAATCTGCTTAATTTTGTGATATAATTTTAAAATATTTATATCACAGTATTCTAACACGTATCACAGTATAATTATGTATGACCACTAAGTTTTTAAAACTGTATTTGAAATATAAACATATGGTAAAATATATAACTCTTAGTCATTAAAGTCAGTATAATTACCCACCTTAAAAATGATCTCTCAACAGTTTAAGCAAAAAGCTTCCTATTCTAAGCACAGTTAATGACTGGAGTACTCTTGCCTTTCCAATGAGCTTTATCTTATACCTTAAATGTAAAAATCAGAACAAGGGATTAGAAAGTGAAGATCCAAAGGTACATTGTTGTCACATACCACTGGGCATTACCCCAGAATTACTCCTTTTGAAAAAGCTGAGTGTTTTCCCTTCTGTATGAAGAATGATCATGATTAAGAATTATGGGGATCCTGGATGGTGGGCTCAGTGGTTAGAGCACCGGCCGGTGGACAGAAAGGCCACAGGTTCGAGTCCCTGGCCAAGGGCAGGTGCCTGGGTTGCGGTTCAATCCGAGTACGTGCGAGAGGCAGCCGTTGATGTTTCTTTCGCACATGGATGTTTCTCCCTCTCTCTCCCCCTCCCTTCCTTCCTTCCACTCACTCTAAAAATCAATTGAAGAAATGTTCCTGGGTGAGCATTAACCAAAAAAAAAAAAAAAAAAAAAAATGGGGGAAAA